TATTCTATTCTATTCTATTCTATTCTATTCTATTCTATTCTATTCTATTCTATTCTATTCTATTCTATAAGAACAGCACTAATTGAGTCAACACATGTCAGACTCAGACTTTTATTCTGGAATTATTTACAAGTATTTTGCTCAGCTATAACAACAAGTRAATGTTTATAAAATAATGTCAAATGTTACAAGTAATTATGGATCCTTTAAAACTATTAAGAGATCTTTAAAATCATCTCTGGTGTATCTGTGGGAACAGTTTTACCATCAGGTTCTTCCAGCAGACTGATGTCGTCCAGCTGGCAGATGGTGGAAAACGCTTCTGTGCGCCGCTGCAGCTCCTTGCAGAGGTAAATGTAGCCGGTCCAGTACCTGCACAGACATGCATTATATACAGTAAATAGTTAAATGTCTGGTTTGTAACAACACAAGCAGCTTGGTTAATACAAAGAACAAAAAAAAAAAGAAATACCCATGACTGCGGCAGGTCTCCGCCATCTTCTCCTTAGACGACAGATCTGCAGGAAGACGAGTCAGCAAGGACAAAAGACGTCTGTAACCCCAACTGAAACAGTGTGAGTGCCACCTGTAGCAGGACACACGTTTAGTTTCATACACTCCCACAGTTAGCTTTCATTGCATACGCTGCTAAAATGCTATAGAAAAATGGGATATTTTGCATTTTTTCCACACACTGCAGAGTAACACCTGGGCTGTCCATCAGGAGTCAGGGTATCACAGTGTTGAGGAGCATCATGGGTAAGAGCCAGCTCCAGCCAATCATGCCTCAGTGATTCAGGCTCAAGAAGGGACTGAAGAAATGACAACCTAACAGGAAAAAAGTAACAAAATGAGTTTTGTAATAAAGAGAATTTCCCTATCTTTGATGTTTTCACATAAAACGGGTCTGATGACATACCTGTGCTCCTCAGCTCGAGACTGGACCAGATTATCCAGGTATGGCAGGAAGTGGCTTTGCTGAGCCATCGTCATCACATCAGCAGGAGTGATTGTTGGATAGAACTGGGAAAACGAGCGAACAGCTGCCTCGCCGTGCTTCTCATACAGCCTGGATTATAACGGAACATTCCTTTGTTTCAGTCGGTACATCACTAAAAACTATTTTTGTTGTAGCTTAAATGTTCACATAAACAATGAAATTTACATGAACATTTTAAAAGATCAGGTCTTTCAAAAGGTTTAGTAAAATTGTCCAGCATCCACTTCAGAATGCACTTTCCTTGTTTTATTATCAACCGTTAATCAAACAAACTGCATGAGGTGTGTTGATGCRTTGGACAGAACATGGTGGGCTGACCTGTGCAGGTGAGCCAGGAGATGAGGTGCACCCCAGGCTTCCAGTTCCCTCAGATTTCTCAGTGATTTCAGCAAATCGCCCTTCTGAATAACCTCCACCACCTTGCTGGACTGAGTGAGCTCTGCAAAGACAGAACAAAACTTTAAATTAATCACGCGTTTAATCATCTAAAACTGAACTTTCCAAACAAATTCATTATTTAAAGCTTGTAGAAGTTGAAAAACTTGTGGAGGGATTTATTTTGTTTTTGTATTTTTTGTTAAAGCGCTGTGATGTGGTTGAAAAATGTATCTGGATATWAGTGTTTCATATCAAATGATAATTACTGATTAGTTTTTTACCAGTTAGAAATTAAGGATAGAGAGAAAAAAAGGCATATTAAAGGGATCTCTGATTAGTTGTAACATTAGACTTTATTTAATAAACATATATTTTAATTGTAAAATAAAGACTAAAAATACAGTAGGATGTTCAGTTTTTATCATTTTTAAACTAAAAATTTAAAATTATATTACATGGACAGGGCCATTTTATTTACATGCAAAGCATTCTGGGTAAATGATGACGTGGATAGGTCATCAGTGCGAGGCTGCTAGCGAGCTATATCCACCCTGAAGGTTAATCTTGGACAATATCTGAYGATCGACTCTTTTAAATGAAACCAGAGAGYGTTGACAGAGAGGAGAAGGTAGAAATGACTCAGCCTGTAACTGAAAATATAGATGGAGGACAACAGAGCTGCTTCATGGAAGAAGAACCTTAGCTCAGCCTGTAAGCATTAGCCCCGACGYTATCACCATACAGTATATATGTATTAGCTCAGCACTACACATTCTCCTCTCATCACTGAGGTCCTCCATCCACATGACAGAGAGGAGAACGCAAAAATGACTCAGACTGCAACTGAAAATATGGATGGAGGACCTCAGTTTAGCTTGTTTGTCATGCTAACACCGAGCTAATACTTATAAGGCAATATAGCGTCAGTGCTAGTGCGAAGGCTAACAGGCTAAGCTGWGGTTCTTCTTCCATGAAGCAGCTCTGTTGTCCTCCATCCATATTTTCAGTTCCAGGCTGAGTCATTTCTACCTTCTCCTCTCTGTCAACGCTCTCTGGTTTCATTTAAAAGAGTCGATCATCAGATATTGTCCAAGATTAACCTTCAGGGTGGATATAGCTCGCTCACACCGAGGACATATCCACATCATCATTTACCCAGAATACTTTGTGTGTAAATAAAATGGCTCCATCTGTGTTAAAATATATTTTTAAAAATTTACAAAACTAAACAGCTACAGTATTTTTACAGTCTTTATTTTACAGTTAAAATAAATGTTTTTCAAATAGTCTAATGTTACAACTAATCAGGGACCCCTTTAAATCTCCCAAACTGGTGAGGTGACCTTTCCTCATTTATCCAAAATTTCCTTGAGTTGTTTTCTCCTTTCACTCCACATCGTTCTTTTTTACTTTCAGCCGTTAAGAGGCGAAACATGAAATTGCTACTGCGCATTGCTCAACAAGTTGTTGCTAGCTCACCATAATGGAGTTATTTGTTCCACCAACCTTGTTAGGCTGGGCAGTGAGAGGTCGAGCATCTAATGCCTTTCCTCTGCCTACATCACCCAGAATGCCGTGCGGTTCTGGATCGGAGTTCAGTGAAATAATCAATGTTCTATTGGACATATTAATATTGAACATGTGTGTGTCCCGATGTAGATTGTTGTTGTTTTATTGCACAGCCCTAACAGATTACAAAGAGAAGTTTCTGACCCAGCATGGCGTCAGTGAAGGAGCTCATCATCCCAGGCTGCTCCTGATAACACAGCAGACACATCCTCCTCACACGCTCCTGGTCCAGCAGAAAGAAGTAGCGCCGCAGGAAAGCCGAGCATCCGAGCGCCTCGTTCTGGCTCCTGAAGCAGCTCAGCTCGGTGTAGAGCGTGGCCAGCTCGGTGAGGTCAGCCGACAGGTCTGATGGTACGGGTTCAGGGGACACCACTCGGATAGGCTCTGGACAACTCCTGCACGACGTGACGTTTTCAGCAGAGTCTGACGTTGGCTGCCGCTTACTATTACTTCCAGTTTCAGGAGATTCTTTGGTCTCTTCTGGAACAATCTCTGTGGATTCTCCTTGTTGCTCTGTGCAGGGGTTCAGATAGTCCCGCTCCCACCTGTCCTCTCCTGATCCATCCAGGTTCGAGTCGGTTGCCTCGGGTCCAAGGACTCGCTCCAGGACCGGCAGCCACTCCTGCAGAGCTTCTCTGAGGCAAACTGGATCAAGTAGCACCAAAGGGTCTTGTATCTGTGAGCTGATGATGGAAAAACATTAACATCTAAACAACAGCAGGAAGTTTAGAGTTAAAAGAATCATTTCTGTGGGGTCCTTACACAGCTTTCTCTGTCGCTGTTCGAAGTTCTTGCATATCAGCCTCGGGGTTAAATCCTTCATTACAAAGTCTGTGAGGAGAAATATAATTATTAGGTTTTACTGTGTCAACTTTCAGTGGAATATTCATCAAAAAGGAAAAGTAAAATAAAAACACTTCTCTTCCTTACAGCTGTGATCACAACATATGGATTTGCTCTCATTTTAGTAACAGACATTTTTCATTTAAAAATCTGCACTCACTCGTTCTCCAGGTCCTCTGAGTAGGACGTTGTGCTGGAGATGGTCTCATTCTGTCCCGTCTCTCTATATTCAGGCCGCTGCCGGAGTTCAGAGTTCATCTGGAGGGTGTTGATCTTTTCCGTCGTCTTCTTGACGAAACTGGAAACACTGACGGACAGAAGAAAAAATAAAATAAAAAAATAACTGCTGCTGGGTGAAGTTTGGTTAAACTGTTTTTACAATTTAACAGCCACAAAGAAGCAGGGAGACTGTCATTCAAATGAATGTTGTTCCGAGACAAAACAGGAGACAACCGATCGATGCAAAGATGTGGGTTTTAGTAGAAAGGAGAAGTGAGTCACCTGAGAGCACAGCTGCACTTTAGTTTCAATCCACAATATGAAATATTATGCAAAATCGACTTTTGGGCGTTACATCAAGTTATAATGTCATTCCCTCATCAAAAACATATCCAGAGTGTTGCTTTGACTCATTCATGCATGTTTGAGAAATCCTTGAATCTCCTGTCAATTTCCGGTCAATTTCAAGTAGTTTGGATAGACTCTGATGCAAAATCACATTTATTTTTTCATAGCTACAGCAAACCATAAACATGTATAACTGAAGCAACGTGGCTGTGGAGCCATTCGTTTGTTTAGTTTTCATTCACCTGTCTTTGACGGCCTGCAGTGCGATGCGGGGCGGCTTGGGGCGGAACGAGAGCGGGAGGTGGAACGGCAGGCCTTGATCCGATCGATCGGCCTCAGTGCGCTCGCCGCTCTGTGGATCTGAGTGAAGATGAGGGGCAGGAGTGGGAGGAAAAACAAAGATGGATGGAGTGCTGGAGGGAAATGACGAGAAGCCTCGGACAGAAAGCAAAAGCGAGGCAAGACTGTAGGTTGTGAAGAGACTGTAAATCAAATGCAGCACGAAACAAAACCAAAAACGAATGCGTGATGCAATGGAACAGACAGGAAAATCGTTGTCAACAATTCGGCAAAGTGACGGTTGTTTTTGTGAAGCAATTTTTAAAGCAAATCCAGTGGTTCAGCAGCAAAGCAACACATACGATTAAAAGCTTTTATATCACAACAGAGAGCATCAAAGAGTTAAATTATCATCAGTTACTTTGAAATGCTAAAAATGTTACCAATCAAATAGTTTTGTTGTTTCTGTTCTTTTTAATTTGATGCTATTTTTAGGTGTTCAACTGAAAATAACTTCACTCTTTTTTACCACTGAACTCAGGAGCAGGAAGGAAGTTTAGTCCTGCTTTAAACAAACATCAAGTAGATTTATAGAGTGAAAACACAAAGAGATTGGTAGTAATAAAATAAAAGAAACAAGAAAAAAATACAACATTTGGAGATTACCATTGATGTTAGAGACTACTTTTTACAGAATGATGWTTTTTAATGACTTGGTGCAAAGAATGTTAACTAAATTGAGGTGGAAATCTTTCAACAAAACATTTTTTCCTCATCTGAACTGGRTTATCCAAAAGGTAAGTGAACGTTTGGTAAAATGGCAGTGAAAGTAGGATTAACATTAGTGCTTCTCACCATGATCCACCTGATCCTCCTCCTGCACAAAGCTGAAGTCTTTGAGCTGCTCCTCCTCMGACGTGGACTGATTGATGAGGGAGTTCGTCTCCTCGTCGGACTGACTTCCTCTGCGGCTGATCACTCGATAGATTCCACAGTCCAGGACGTTAAAACTCTCCTGGATAAGGATGTAAATGTCATCATTTTACTCATTTATTACGTGTCCAGAATGACAGGAAGAAAAAAAMTCTACTCATTACGTAATGATTTACTTTTGTACAAAATGAACGTTTTACAGTTACTTGTTGCACATTTTGGAGCTATGAAGTGTTAGTTTGTTGTGAAAAAATTCACAAGTTTAATCATGAAGAAAAATGAGTTACAGTGAGATGTTTGTGTCCCATGTTGGGTTAATGCGTATTTGTCACTCATAAAGCTAAAGAGCAATCACAAACAACCTCATCATCTACTCTTATCTGTTAGTCTGAAAAACTCTTATTTTGAAAATAATCTGCTTTGACAAACACACACTGCCAGACAAAAATTTGGACACACTTCCTCTTTCAGTGATCTTATGTTTTCTTATTGAACTGGGGTCGTTCAGACTACAAAGGAACACAGAAGGAGCCATGTAAGCTCAGAGGTACCTAGAGTGTCCACGGGTGTGGTAAGGGGTGCCCGCTACGAGTGGTCCAGAATCTGGGGCATATTTTGTTTTGTTTGGCACTTTTAAATTTGCTACATATTTCTTTATTTCATTTCATTTTTTTTTTATTTATCATGTAAATGACACTGCATATAATACACAATAACATTAACATTTGGACAGTAGCAGCTGTCCAAATGTCCAGACTTTGGTGTTGATTTGCAATGTAGGAAAAAGAGGAAAAGAATAAGGACATTGAATAGGAGGGCATGTTCAAACTTTTGACAGGTCGTGTGCTTCCTCCTTACATGTGAGGAGATGCTGCTCCTCCGGCTGCTGGACGCAGAGTCCGGCGGCTCCAGCTTCGCGATCACTTCCTCTAGCTGGCTGATCAGCTCAGAGTCTGTGCTGGAGCTGAGCTGAGCCTTCAGGTGCTCCAGGCGGTCCATAGGAATGGACTTGCGTGCCTGAATTAAAAAAATAAATCATTTTTTAATAATTTATGTATTCACAGAACATTACTTGTATCTATGAGCAGGTAAAGTTCAGGCTTTTATTTTTTTAGTCACACAAGAGGTCTTAAACACAATGTTTGCTTTAAGGCCAGAGAGTTGAGGATATGTCACTGAACAAAGAGGAAGTCAGTTAGCTCCGTACCCTGCTGGTAATGATGGCGTGCTGGAACATGCAGCAGACGGAGGCAGCGAGAGTCCAAGACTCGCGCCGCAGCAGACGCTCCACGCAACGCTCTGCGGACAACAAGGACAGGTGGGACAGGCGCCCGCTCCCGTGGAGACAGAACAGCTCACCGCGGTGCACTGCAACGTCAGCYACGTCTGAAAAACAAGACAAAATAAAAACAGGTTAATTAGGATGAAAAGAAAATATTTAATTATCAGTGATCAAAACAGTTAAGATTTTTATTAATTGTTGAGTTAAAAAGGAAAAGTTTAAACTTTGTTCATTTTGAAGTTTACTGCAGAAGTTTAACTTCACCTTTAACTTCAGCCCACAGCAGAACTTGTCCATTCTGAGGTGTGAAGATATAAACGGCTGAATCCGTCCAAGTCAACAGGTTTTGGTCTCTGCATCCAAACACGAAATCTTGATTTAGACAGCTGACCGTCATGTTCAGTGCAACAATTCAGCTTCAAGTTTAAACACTTTTTACCCCAAATAAAGCAGTTTAGAAAACGTGAGAGACTGTGGACTCTTCTGTGCTGGATTGTAATTTGGCTCATTTCTGCAGAAGAAACAAACAGATTATGAGTCTTGGTGTTTTGTACGCTCTGATTAGGTGAGAGCGCAGCTTAACCTGAAGGTGATGAGTGGTAGCGGGGGACATGCCAGTAGCTGTTTGAACTGATGAGTGCTCAGAACCTCGCCGTTAAAGCTAGCCTCCCATATTCGAGACCCTGGCCGGGCACAGTACAGCAGTGGAGGCTGGCCCACCAGTAACCCTCTGTTCTGAGGGAARAAACAGGCTCCATATTCTCCGTCACGCTCCTTGTTTCCAACACGCCAGAATTTCTCCCTGAAAACAGGCAAAGATAGGAAAACACTCTGAATCTATTCTTTTATTTATTTATTTTATTTTAYTTGCAGCATGCATGTGCTTAAAACAAATTTGTTATTTTCTTAAAGAAAACCTGAAAAGACAATATTTGGCATTATTGCAGACACAATCCCAACAGGATCTCATAGGTACTTACTTCTCGGTGTCGCAGAGGTAGCAGCGACTCAGAGAGGACACGAGCAGGCGGCCATCTTGGTACCCCAGCTGGACCACTCTGGAGTCAACAGTGGTGACGGTCTGAATGGGGAAGATTACAAACGCTGACCCCTAGAGACAAAAAAGAGACGGTTAAATAATCACCAATGGTCCAAATGACATTTACAGCTTCTTCACGGCTTCTACCTTTCCCAGTTTTGAGGATCCTGCTCGCAGATAGGACACTTTGCCTGCAGCGTCCCCAACAAAAACTCTGAGTGCGCTGGTGTCCCAGCAGAGGGAAGTGATGCTGTGTCCTCTGTGCTCCCAAGAGAGGCCGACTCGTTCGGGACGGCCGCGCCGCTCCAGCTGCAGCTCCCACACCACCACCAGACCCTGACTGGACGAGCACGGACCACCAAACACACAGATAAGAAGGAAAAAGACAAAATTACGTATTTTTTATTCAGAGAAATAACTGTTTTGTTTAAATTTCTGAACCAATTCTCACCTTGTGGCGACTGCAACAAAATCCTCATCATGTGGGCAACACGCCACCTGAGTGATGGAGCCCTCCTAAAACAAACAGAGCTCTTATTTTATCTTGTAAGCCTCTGATGCTTACCCATATATACCCATGTCTGTTTTGCACTACAAATTCTGCTGCTACTGTCCATAAATACTGCAAAAACTGTAAATACTGGTCTATAATTCTGTATACACTGATGTAAGTCATCCTTTCTAGACATAAATGTCAACAAAACCAAAAAATGATTATTGACTTCAGGAAAAACAAAAAAGCCATCTCTCCTGTGTACATTAATGATCAACAAGTTGATGTTGTGGAGGAATATAAATATCTGGGTACTGTAACTGACAACAAACTCTTTTGACAAACAAGTGGACACTGTACGCAAGAAAGCCCATCAACGTTTGTACTTTTATCGTAAATTAAGGAGTTTTAACATGGACAGTAGTTTTATGAGAATGTTTTATTGCTGTTTTATTGAATCTGTTCTTACTTTTTCTTTTATTTGCTGGTATGGGCTATTGACACAGAAAAACAAAAAACGCATACAGCATATTGTCAGTCTTTGCAGTAAAATCGCTAATGTCCCATTAAATGACATCACTACTCTCCACAGAAACAGATCCTTGAAGAAAGCTCAGGTAATTTTAGCTGAGCTTAACCACCCCCTCTTCACAGAGTTTTCTCTTTTACCATCAGCACGCAGATTTGCTGTAAAAAGATGTCGAACCAACAGATTTAAGAACTTCTTTTTACCTGCTGTTATTGTCATTTTAAATACTTCTTACTGATTGTGTGTTTGTAGTTTTTACACCTATACATGATGATTTTTATCTTTTTTTTTTTACTGTATTTGTGGTTGATGATTGTTTTTGTTCCTGCTGGCTGTGACACAAATTGCCCCATGGGGAGATAACTTGACTTGACTTGAYWTAGTGTCTTTTTGCACTAAAAATTCAGCTGCTACTGTCCAAATACTGGTCTATAAATACTGTATACAGTGACTTTTTGCACTAAAAAATCAGCTGCTAATGTCCAAAAATAATGTAAAAACTGTAAATATCTATTATTCTGTCCACCCTACTTTTGTATTCTATTGTACTTTATTTATAATATCTCGGACTATCTGTAAATAGGGGAACTGCAAAGTAAGAGTTTCATTGCACAGTGTAACTGCTTGTATGCTGGGCATATGACAACAAAACTCTTGAATCTATTGTGAGGCAGCAGCTCTCTTCTTACAAACAGCTCATTTAATGTGCATTCACATCCTTTATGAGATCAACAGTTCTCACAGGATTTCAGGCTCACCTTGTGGGTGAGGATGATCCTCTGCTTCCAGCCCTCTTTCTGAATCAGATGCAACCCTCCAGCTGATGTTCCCAGTGCAAGCCACTTCCTTGACACAGCCACACAGGTACACTAAAAACATTTAAAATAAGTCAAATAATATGTAGTTTAATTCAATTCTTACAGCGTGATTTACYGTTTGTTTACCCGCATCTTTCACAGCAGCTGTCAGAGGTTATAAAAAAAAAACATTACTGGATGTTTTATAACTTTCTCCTAACTAGGACGTCAACAAGCTACTATAAACTCTTTAGATGTGACGGCAGGGCCTACCTTGAGCCTGCCTGAGTCCAGACGCAGAGCAGAAAGAAGCGGATCAAGGCAGTCAAACTCTGCCAGGACGTGGCTGTGGTTCTCTGGAACAGCTGGTGTCAGAGGCATCTTCACCCGTCTTCCAACAACAGCTAAACAAGAGCAGAAATGGGAAAAACATTAAAAAAACAGTTTTGGAAGATGGATTTGACGACTTCCCCGATTGCATCTCAGATCCTAAATTGATCAGTCATGACGTCCCTTTAAGCTGCAGCCAGAACACACTTCATCAGTTCATGTAAAACAATCATCTGGTACAAAAACCACACAGCAGCTTATAACTTGGTAAAGTTTTGTGAAGTTTCTTCTCATTGCCAGCATGAAAAAGGAAACTGAAATCAATAAAATAATCAAAATTAACAAAACCAATGTAAAATTGATTAAAAAAGGGGGTCTTCTATATAACCAGTATTGTAAAAAGTAGTTCTGACATGTTATTTCTAATACAAATAGACCGTTTGGGCAGGACACACTAAGTTTGTAAAGTTTGGCTTAAATCCCCTTTTACTGGTTGTGGTTTCACATGAATTTTTGAGAAAGCAGAAGTGAAACTAAAGCTTTGAAAAAAAAAAACGATTCAGTTAAAAGTGGGGAGGAACATTAAAGAGAGGATAGCAAAGTTCTTCAAAACACAACAAAACAAATCTTCTCAGAAGTACAGCCACTGYGAAAGCATTTCAGAAGAATGTGCAAATTTTGACTTTTGAGGCTGTATTTGTTCACGCCAGCATTACTTGGATGACTTTGCTTTGAGGACTAACCAGATGCAACCATCAAACTGTTAAGACAACAAAAACCTGAAACGGAATGTTTTAAAGTGTAAGTTACTCATGATAAGAAGAAATCTCTCTTTCTAATTGTGTTATCTTGAGAGTTGTGCACTGATATAAATTTGCTTTTAGTAACATCAAGGATCACATTTAACCTGAAGGTTGGGGGGAAGGACATTAGCCTGATATGGATTATTTAACTACAACAATATGGTTTTAATGTGGAGTAAAAGTTTCTTACAGGAAGTATAAGAAAACAAAAAATAATTTAGGAAGAACACTCTGTCACGCCCTTTTTCACAATCAATCATCACTGAAGGGTATCAAAGAGCTAAGCCTAGCTGTAGTTAATTAATCTTGCATTAGATGTTAAATGTTCTGTATGAAACCACATTTTGTACCTCTTTAAGAGACTTTCACTCTAAATGACACAACAAAAAGCTACAAGTTCTGCTTTTAAATAAAAGACAATTGTGTTCATGAAGTACTAAAAGTGATGGTCAGTTTCTAAAAAAAAAAAAAACAGACATTTTTTGGGGATAATTGATGGTTTTTCTGCATTTTTTTAAAAGCAAAAGTAAGTTATTGCTCTGGTATTTTGGGGTTGTGAACATTTTTTAACATCTCGGAAAAAATAATCTGAAAATTGTACATCAATTTGGATTTTTTTTAACTAATAAAAAAACCTATAAATAAAAAATGTGARTGACAACGGCACAAAGATTTATTTAAACCTTCAATTTAAAGCTTCACATAACTGTTTTACAGGCACAAAAGTATGTGAAAGCAGCCTTTTACCATAAAATGTGTATAGTGTTTAAAACTACAAGTATTTATTTATTTTTTACCATAGCATGTGCAGAGATGTGCAGTGATGATTCATACAGTTAGTTGGCACACAACACTTGTTATAAAAAGCTTTATTTGTACATAAATTGCTGCTCAGAAACGTCAAGTATAATATTTCCTTTGGGAAACTTGAACACCATTTAAAAATGAGCTTAAAACACAAATCTGTATTAAAGTGTCTTTACTTACTCCACTGATCTTTAAAATGAGTAAAAGTAGCAGAATCCCACAGAAACACCGCAGACTTTTTTTTTTTTTTACCAGAAACTCATCAAAGATATATATATTTTTGAAAAACGATATTATTGACTGTATGATCCAGTTTTTAGAAATAAAACAGTGTAAAGTAGCTGCTGGTAGAAAAGGGGGGGCGACTCGAGCAGCAGATGATTAATCAATCATGGCAGCTAGGCGTCACGAGACTATTCTGTTAGCGCTGATGCTAACATTTCAATAAAACGAAACAAACCAACGACACCGTGTAAAATGAACAATTAAACAAACATTTTTTCACAAGTGACGCCCTCCAAGTATACGCCTGAGGAGTTTTCAGTGTCAACTCGCGCCATTCAAGATSGTTTAACAACCTAGCCGACATGCTAACTGGAGTGCTAAAAACACAGCTGAAACTCACCGGACGAACCGAGTATCTCTTCAGCATTACCACCTGCAAAACCCACACCAAACCCCTGTTCTACATCCTTGCTTATGCGGGGTGGTTTGTGGAGAAAGTCAGCGGCGGGACTGAGAGGTTTCTGACTGCAGCCAGGCGACCCGTGACAGCTGCTGTCAGCTGATGTGAGCTCACTTCCTGTTAGCAGCTTCCTCTGCTAGCTCAGGGTTTTCTGCAGGAAAACCCAAACAGCTCCTCACAAAGAAAACAAAACAAGCCAACAGGTCTGAATGCTGTAGTTTATAATGTACAAAAGCAGATAGTCGACACCTCTCGGATAATAAACTGTAATAATAAATGATTACTGAACTAAACAACACCAAAAGGCTTAGTTGCAGATAAAGAAGTTGAATGAAATACTGCATTTGGAATAGAAATCAGCATGGACAAATACCTCACTTTAATTTTCTAATTTGTTTTCCTCTTCAGTGCAGACAGGTAGTGCATTAAACCAGTGACACTTTAATTTGAGCCACCCTAATGCACAAAAGTGTGAAATATCTTTACAGTATTGCTAAATTTGCATCTTCATCTTTCAGATTTTCTTTAATACTTCCACACACCACCCCTGTTTTCCAAGGGGACCACCATGCCTCAGAGCCACTCGTTTCTTTTTTCCTCTGCATTGTGCACTGATGAAACATTAACCGTCCTTTGCTTGCATCTTCTTCTCTCAGTGTGTTGTCCTGAGAGCCCTTTTTTCCAAAGGTTTGGTCATTTTAAAAGTCCTGCTTAACATTTACAGGCAGAGAGCTCTTTAACCACAGAGAAAACACAAAGAAAAGAGAAGGAAACAAATGTTATTTGTGACTGAGATGCAGTTATTCTCTGTTGAACGTCTGAGGTTGTAGCAGCGTCCCTCTGTATCCTCTTTAAGCCCCGCTGAACTATGTTCTATTGGGCTGTGGTCCTCTTACAGCACGGAGGACCTTCATGAGTCATTTATCCATCCAAGTCTCTCTAGTCTTCTCCTTGTCTCACGGTCACAGGTCAAGTTTTCCTCATCATCCTGCGAGTTTGCCAGATGTGGAACTTGCTATAGGCAGCCTGCAACATGTCCTCCAAGTGTCCTGTAAGCTGCGGGAACGTCAAACTGATTAAACACGAGTGCCACCTGGTGAAAGCTTCAGAGACACTGAAAACCTCAGAGACTTACGTTTGTACTCAAGTACTGTCGCTGGATTTTTTCCTGAAAAGGACGAAGCTTGGTCATCTGAAATCTCTCGAGGTTTGATTTCATTTTTATCACCTGCAAATAAAAGTAAGAGACGAAGAAGTTAAAAGATTGAAAGTTAATTATTTTACATAGGGTAGATTTCTGAACTGAAGTGACCTTTTCCTCTAAAAATGGCGTGTTTACAGGAAAACAGGACCAGAAGTGCCTCAATAATTCTCCTGCAGCAACATACAGATGTTTCAGCTCTCCTTGAATCTCTGTGGGTACCATCTCTGAAAAAACAAACAACATTAACACGCAGCTGAGTAAAAACTAATTCTGTATCATTGTATAGAAATACTTTTCTCCTTCACTACGTTCTCAGACAGAGATCATAAAAAGGTAAAAATTCACTGCATTGCTCCTCACTGAGCCCGGTCAACCACAGCGTCATGTAAAGAAGTGAAGTTCTGCACTGCACGCTTACGGTTTATGGCTTGCGGTGCAACGGGCTGCATGAGGACACCTCCTGGAGAGAGCGCTGCGATGGCAGAACTAGCTACTGCGCTGGACAACACCTGAAAAAAGATTTTTGCATTAAACACTAATATTAAATGAATGAAGTCATAGCAAGTCTTTATAAAATAAATGTCAGACGAAAGCGGATTAATCAATTTTAAAACAGAACTGTTCGCTGCAGCCCTAAAACACAAAACCAGAAGTATGCTTTAAATGTTCTAAATAGCTTACAACACCTAAAGAGACAGTTCTAAAGGGCCCTGAGAAGACTGATTGTTTTCACTGTTTGAAATAAAATTTAGACTCGAGGATCAGTGCCTGTAATTTTGTCAACCTAAAATTTAATCTGAAACAGTCTAAATAAGATACTGACTCAGCTGTTGTGTTTGTCTTTTTTTTGTAAATCACATTAAAAAAACAAAAACAAAGACCTTTTGCCCTGGCACCTACCTCTAAACAGATTATGAAAGAAAAATATGAGTAAATACTCTTTATATACAAGTTTATATACACATGTATAATATATATCATATACACACATCAAGACACATCGCTGTGATGCTCAGTTCAGAATGATCTGACAACCTGTGCTGTTACCAAAGAACAGAAAGAGACTGAACAGCAAAGTTGGGTTGGGCAAAATCATATTGTGTGCAATTAATGGTCAGAAAAGTTGCCAAAAATTATTATTTACAACTTTGCAATTACTGCAATTAGTGCTATAGGATGAAGCATTTTTGTGTGCGATTCAAGCGAGCCTGTGAGACTGTGGCAAACTGCATTACTAAAGATCTCCTGCCACTCCAGTGTGGAAAAAGAGGGTTTCAGTTCACAGCTTACTGTTTATACCAGTTAAAATGAAGGAGTTAGTTTGAGTGATGATTTAAAAGTATAATTTTACAACTCAGAGAAACATGCAAACATGACTATTTTAAATCCTAGTTTTAGTTTCAGCCTTCTGCTATACATCAGGAATAAAGTACACAGAATAAATGAAATCAAGATGTTATTTAGCAAGAGAAAATCCACCTAATGTTAACATAGGGATTTGTTGCCCAATGTGTTACTAAAGACAACAAATATTTACCCAATCATCAATAATTTAAAGCTTCAAGCTAAGAGACTGGGCAAATCATCAATAGTTAAGAGCAATCCAGTGTTCTGCAAAGGCAGCTATGAGTGAGTGCTTTTTTTTTTTTTTAAATGTTACATAAAAAATATTTAAAGTATTTGAAGTCTTAGCTCAGACAAAACACTTTCTAACGATGACTTCCCACAAACAATCTGACATGTTTGGTTTGGGCTTCAGTGTAAATAAACTAATGGATATGTGAACACACTATTTTTAAATTTCAAACAAATCAACACACAATACAAGTAAAAATAAATGTTTATTATGTTTTTATTAATCCAACCTGAGTGAGGTTAGGTTTGTAGTTGGCCATCTCATGCTGTATGTAGCTGACAGAGTTGATGATATCCTGGCTGGTTGTATACTGCTGGGACTGAAGAGGCACGGGACCATGAGCGTACCTTATTTAGAAAAGAAGAATGAATTGTTTTATCATCCTAAAAAAATTAACAATCAAGACTCGTGGACAGATAGGTTTACTTTTTATGCCTAAAACAGTGTAATGTTTGATTAAAACTCCTTAGCACATCAAGAAATAAAAACGGTTCTTGTATTTTGGAGCTTTACTCCTGAGCATAAGCACAAAAAAATGTTATAATCTATTGGGTTAAACCTAGTAAACAATCTGTGAAATCATGAGATCTACCAAGAGGTATTATTAGAGCTCAGAGTATGTGCTGTTAGTGACTCTCAGCTACTACCACAACAAACTCAGTGGTTGTAAACATGACTGAGGTTGATCAGATGAGGCAGCCACCCTGAACTGGACTGATTCCAACAGGTAAATCAGTTGTAGATGCACAACCAGTAAAACGTTCGGTTTTAAATCAAATCCATCCAGTGGTTCATGAGATGTTTTACTTAACAGACAAAGAAGGACTCCAACAATTAAAGCTGAAAAAAGTGCAAACTATAGCACCTAACATAATACTGTTTTTATGATGAAACAACAATCAGAGCTCTGTCGAGAGGAACTAAACTCTTTGAGACAAACCAAAACAAACAGTACCTGTCAGACTTCTTCAGGTTTAATGCAACCACTTTTGGTTTGTTTTCCCTTTGTAGATCCTCATACTCGATGGCTTCTTGTAGTTTAACCTAAAAAAAGAAAAGAAGCACGGTGAACTCAGGTCCTTACAGAGTGAAAATCATTGTGTCATAACTCCTCAACCGACTTCCAGAGCTGACGTACCTTCTTAAGAGGAGGCTGAAAGAAGTCGGAATCCCTCGAGTTTCCATCTGTGCTGCTCGTCTCACTGGCCTGGTCGGTTGGCACGTCCCTTTAAAACAGGTCACGGTTAGCAGGAAGACCTGATCAAGTTGTTCTCATTTTTTTATTCAAAATGATGCTTTTTACCCCTTGCGTGAGCCTGCAGCCAGCACCATGGCACTGTGATGGTTGAACCGTTTTATAATCGCAGAGTTGCTGCTTTCTTTTACCGTCTTGCTTGCGTTAGAGGTTGAGGGTACAGCTGTTCTAATTCCATAACCCTGTGTGCGAAAAAAAGGTTTTAAAATAAACGAGTTAGTTAGTTGTAAAATGTGTTTAGATTTCTGCTTTACGCTTATTTCACCTCATCTAATGTTTTATCTTCCAACGACAGAAGGTCAACCAAAGGATTCTTCACTCCTTGGTTCACCAAAGACTTTAACCCTGTGGACGACAAATAAGAGAATATTAAGGTTTTCCTGCATAAATCTAATAATCTATTCACAAACAGTGCTGGAAAAATGTCAAACGGTTACCTTTCTCATCCTGCTTGGCACATTCTGAGAAGATATCCTGCATCCCCGTGTTGATGCGGTCTCTGTGGAAATAATGCGACTGGAAAAAGCGGGTCCAGAACTCCTTCTCCGTCAGGTTGTGAGGAACATTTTCACTATACTTCTGCTTCACTGCAAGTAAAATGTAAGTCCATATAAATACATTTGCTTTAAGCTATTGCAAAGTTTATAAAAAAGCACAAAGTTTATCTGAAAAAACTGTCTAAAACTCCTACTGTGACATTTTGCTTGTCTTGATTGTAAAATAACAGCCCCTTTTCTCATCGATCAATACTGCTTATAACTTTAAAGTTAAGTAGTCAATGTTTACCTGCAGGATAAGTTCTAAAAATGGACTCAATAATATCAGCTGTCAGATTATATCTCAAACCATTACAGCCATCGGTCTGAGGTCTAATGTCGGCCTGAAAAACATAAACACAAGGCGTTTCAATGGGCAGCTGTTGATACTGAAAACATTTGGAAAGGATAGCTGTAGATAAATGTAATTACCAGAAAGGCTCCAGATATACCAACGTCCTGCTTGTTGCTGTAAGGTGCAGCTTCTCCGTTGTTCATGCCTCCTAATCGG